ACTCAAAATTAAGATACATCTTTGAGCTTTTTAAATGACTGGAGAAAAGGTCCTGTAACTAGTTGCTGTAGTGGTAATAATAAATATAAGGAAGGGGATATTGGTCCGGCAGCCGGACGCCTACTGCGCGGCTATAGATCCGGCAGTCCGTTGTTCTCCGTAAAACAGCTTGTGCGCATGCGCAATAGTGCAAAATGGAACTTAGTCTTTTTTATCAAGAAACCCTAATCCCAAAACCCTACAATCCCGGAGGCTAAGATGTACGAGAGGGTGCTCTAAAAACTAAACACTAAACCCCAATCCCAACCCTACGACCCCGGAGGCTAAGATGTACGAGAGGGTGCTCTAAAAACTAAACACTAAACCCCAATCCCAACCCTACGACCCCGGAGGCTAAGATGTACGAGAGGGTGCTCTAAAAACTAAACACTAAACCCCAATCCCAACCCTACGACCCCGGAGGCTAAGATGTACGAGAGAGTGTTTATTTTTTTTTTTAAAGTAAAAAAAAAGTGAAAAAAAAAGAAAAAAAATCAAACATTTCAGCATAGTTTTAGTCAATAGTCCCGACAGGATTCGAACCGCTGACCCCATCCGTGCAATCCAGACCAGCCTCTCCCCACTACACCACCGCAACCCTGCTGCATCAACGTTGCTGATTGTCGTATTTATACTTGATATCTGTATATAAAATCGTGTATTAGTATACTGGGGCGAAGCCCCAGTATACTATATAGGGACTGCCGGACCAATAGCCCCGCAGTAGGCGTCCGGCTGCCGGACCAATATCCACTTCCTAAATATAATAGCAGCTTGACCACGCCTCTTTAATCGTTGTTACGTTAATCTGACCAATCTGACGTTAATTGACTTTTCGCCATTTTTACCACATATCTTTTGTAGTTTTGTACACACGTTTACAGGTGAGAATGTGTTAATTTTAGCTTCTTTTATTCACTTGTGTCCTATATATATCACCATAGGTTTCGTATAGTAGCATTTCTGTCCTGTTTGCAACTTGCTTTTAGAGGTAGGTTCAGGTTTTTGTTTAAGGGTATAATCCATCATGTATACTCAGCCTATCTATGATCAGACTAATAACTCATTACCTGGGGTCCAAGCTGATAACTTACAGGGAGCTATGTGGCTTCAATTTTAACCGTTGATGATGCATGTTACTAAATCATATTTGAAGAAGATCTTATTTTTCACTATAAAATTTTTACATGATAGCCTGATAGGCATAATACTGGGGGTCAATTATAGCAATATCCTTTCCGTTGCCATTTCTTATTTCAATGCTTTTTGTATGTACGATAATGTATTGTTAAATTTTAGGTATGAGTACAAGGCCAATAAAAGATCGTGTGATAATAAGTCATTTTTGCTGCCACCAAAGTCTGTGTCTGATACCTTAAAAACAGTTGGTAGACCTTCAAAGTATAAACATTATGATGATGACAGTTTATAGTGAAGCTTATAAAGAAGTGGTGAGCAAAGATGTGTCAATCAGAAGAGCTGCATTGGAATATGGTATACCTGCATAGGGGTAGGAACAAACTAAAAGTTGGGGGGGCTAAGGTATTATTTCTACAATTGATCATTAATACATAGCATGTACTGAATTAATATTGTCCAAAATATTGGCGTCTATGCTCATTAAATGTAACAAATTCCTTTGCAATGTCCTCGATGTGTAAATCATCTGTAAATTCTTTGTGTGTATGCAAAATAACTACATGATTAAGACGCTCTTGTGACATTGTGGAGCACAAGTAGTTTTTAATCTCCTTAACATCGAAAGTCTATGCTCAGCTGAAGCTGATGTTAACAGAGTTGTTAAATAAAGAAGTAGAAGCTTGTGTATTTCTGAAAAAACTAATAGTGTGTTCTTAGAAGTTAAGCTAGTGTATTAATTGTTTTATGAAACGAATTATCACACAATATGCACACATATAAGGATTACCTAAACTAAAGTCTATAGTGTTGATAATAGTAATACATGTATATCACTTAAAGTTGGAGGGGCTAAGCCCCCCTTCAATGAAGTTGGGGGGGCTTAAGCCCCTCCTGCCCCCCCCCTGTTCCTACCTCTATGTATACCTGTATCTACTCTCACTGACCGAGTATCTGGACGCATTGCTTTTGGTAAAAAAAGTGGACCAAAGAACTATCTTACTGACGAAGAGGAGAAAGAGCTGGTTTATTTTGTATCAGGATGTGTGGAAGTGGAATATAGCTGTTCGAGGACAGATGTAATTCTTTTAGTTGAGGAAGTCCTTTATCGTAAAGGAATAAGGGACACTGTTGTAAGTCACGGTTGGTGGGAGGCTTTCAAAAGGAGGCATCCGGAAATCACTCTCTGTAAACCAGAGCCTCTTTCTCATGTTCATCTTGCTGGTTCTCATCTGGATGTTTTGTCTTGCCATTTTGAAGAATTGGAATCTACTTTAAGGGACAATGATATAATTGACTCTCCTTCGGTCATATTTAATATTGATGAAAGTGGATTTCTATTAGACCCCAAGTCTCCATTAGTTGTTTGTCATCGTGGTCAACAGCATCCAAGTTCTCTATCATCAGGAAATAAGTCACAAATCACAGTTGTTGCATGCTACAATGCAGCTGGATATGTAATCCCTCCGTTTGTTATATTTAGTGGCAAAAATTTTAAACAAGAACTAACCAATGGAGAGATCTCTGAGACTATGTGTAAGAAGTTGTTTCTAAATGGATCCGGAACTCTCTGTGTACTATTGTAATTATATATTATGTGTTTATTCAAGTATATTCTAGAACAATCATGTAAAGTATTCTTGTATGTTATAGAACCTTCTGGACATTTATAAGATCTATATAAGTGTGTTGTTTGTGAGTTTTAGTTTTTTAGTTGTGTTAGTTGTGAGTTAGTTTTGTTAGTTGGTTTTTGAGCTCAGTTGAGTTTCGTGTTGATTAAGAAATAAGTTTGGTGAACAGATAGCTAGGAGCGTCTGTTACACTATGTATGGCCTTTCAAGCTCAGGCTGGATTGATAGTGAATTGTTTGACACATGGTTTCAGAACCATTTTTTAGCCTATGCTCCAGCCAGTCGTCCTTTATTATTAATTTTAGATGGCCACTCTTCCCACTTTAATCCTGCCACATTAAAGCGTGCTGCAGAGGAAAAAGTCATCCTATTTTGTTTGCCACCAAATACTACACACAAGACGCAGCCCTTAGATAAGGGTTGCGTTGCACCTCTTAAACGCTACTGGAGGGAAGAGTGTCATACTTATTTATCTGCTAATAAGAGGAAAGTCATTACTCATTTCCAGTTTTCTGAGTTGTTTTCCAAAGCTTGGAAAAAAGGAATGACAGTAACATCAAGGCTGGCTTTAGAACAACAGGATTTACCCCTACAATCCAGAAGCTGTAATACAGAGAAAAGCTGCTTCACCTCCTCCATCTTTGTGCCAAAGAACCGGACTTAAATACATCCCGTTTTATAGTCCAGCTACTCCATGACACCGAAGAGTACGCTGTACTTCTCCTGATTTATCTTTGGTAGCCCAGGAAACTGTATCATCACATGAAATATGTGTATCTTCATCTGTTATATCTGATGATTCTAATACAGATATTACTCTAAATGATTTTACAAAGGAGGAACTTACTAGATTTCAAAAGAGGAAGGAGGAAGGTTACAATATTCCTGGAGACAAGAGATATGAATTGTGGCTAAAGCAGTTTCCTCGTCATTCAACCCCACATTTTAATGAGTCCCAGATTGATAGTCCTGTTGGTTCTCCTTTGATTCACACGTCTACAATGTCTTGTATTTTGAAATCAAAAACGAAAGAAATCAAGCTTCCAAAACCGAAACAATGTTCATCAACAAGAGTCTTAACAAGTTCAAAAAATTTAAGAAGGCTAGAAGAAAAGCAGAGGAAAAAGGAAGAAAAACTAATGGTGAAAGAGAAACGGAAACAAGAAAGGGAAGCTAAGAAGCAACTTAAACTCAGTAAGTTACTGTAGTATGTTGATAATACTGAAACATTTTTATT